CCCACACTCTTGCAATATTCTAAACACTGTTTCTAAACTCTAAACGCTCTAAAAGAGCACAGCATGTCATGATCTCTGCCACCTGCCTGCACCCTCGGCCACGCCCACTTCTCCTCTGCAGAGCTGAGATCATGACATGCTGCAGGAGGGAGCTTCTCTCTGCGCCTGTGGGCTGCACACAGATTCAGTAGGTGCCAAATAATTTTTAAAAATTTATTTTAAATAAAAAATCCATGCCGACCATGTGGCTAATCCATCAGTCAGCCAGTTGTGTGTCATGTCCAATCTTATTTTGAAAAAGCGTGAAAGAGCGAGTCCACAAAGTCGAACTGTGAAGTAGCAAGGGACTACTGTAGATGTGATCTGCGGACACTTTTTCAGCTTGTCCTCCATCCCTCGTCCTCAGCAGGCAGTGGTATGATTATATTGTCCTGTTTGAGCTCTGACAGCTGGTGTTCCTACATGTTTAAATTAAATCCACAATGCTCAGAGAAACTCCATTAGCTCGTACTGTTTGCACATAAACAAACGCTGGTTCTGGTCCACGCCAGAAGTTGCACCCATAATTCATGCAAGGCACCATGGGGCCTAGGAATAAGGTGGATATAAAATCCTTAACATAAACTGTTGAAGTCAACCCTGTTTGTCTGTTAGCAAAATATATCAAAAACCATTGGACGGATTTGAGTAAAACGTTTAAAAAGTAATCAAGTACGTTTACAATGTGTCATTTGGAGTCAACCAAACTTAAGATGGCCACTACAGTCAGCTGGCCTTAGAAAACACAAAAATTACTTTGATTCAGCCAGTTTTACAGATATTAAACTAAAATGGGGGTAGTAGTAGCTGGCTGTCATCCTCAACGCATACTTTTAGCATCTACCCATTGCACGATATATTTGGCCTAGAACTATGGTGGTCTCTTAAAATCAATGCTGTTTGTTTGTTAGAGAATTGTCTCATGGATCACTTATCAAATTTAGCCAAACTATCAGAAAGTAATCATTCAATATGCACATACAACCTACCATTAGAGTGAACCCAATTCAAATGACGGCCACAGCTGAGGAAACTTAGATAAGAACAAAAAATGGCTGTTGGTTTTACAGAAATCGAGTTAATTTCATTGAGATAGTCACTGAGAGTCAGCCTCAACACATACTTTGAGCGCTACACACCTCGTGACCGCTCACATTTTCACATTAGATTGTGCATAACCTTATTTACAAGGTTTGACCAAAACTCTGTCATTTTGTTTCATTTCTATATAATTTCATCTATTTACTTTTTATTCTATACAGGTGCTGGTCATAAAATTAGAATATCATGAAAACATTGATTTATTTCAGTAATTCCATTCAAGTGAAACTTGTATTTTATATTCATTCATTACACACAGACTGATATATTTCACATGTTTATTTCTTTAAATGTTGATGATTATAACTGACAACCAATGAAAACCTAAAATTCAGTATCTCGGAAAATTAGAATATTACTTAAGACCAATTAAAAAAGGATTTTAAAAAAATGTTGGCCAACTGAAAAGTATGAACATGAAAAGTATGAGCATGTACAGCACTCAGTACTTAGTTGGAGCTTCTTTTTTCTGGATTACTGCAGCAATGTGGCATGGAGTCGATCAGTCTGTGGCGCTGCTCAGGTGTTATGAGAGCCCAGGTTGCTCTGATAGTGGCCTTCGGCTTTTCTGAATTGTTGGGTCTGGTGTATCACATCTTCCTCTACACAATACACCATAGATTTTCTATGGGGTTAAGGTCAGGTGAGTTTGCTGGTCAATTAAGAACAGGGATACCATGGTCCTTCAACCAGGTACTGGTAGCTTTGACACTGTGTGCAGGTGCCAGGTCCTGTTGGAAAATGAAATCTGCATCTTCATAAAGTTGGTCAGCAGCAGGAAGCATGAAGTGCTCTAAAACTTCCTGGTAGACGGCTGTGTTGACCTTGGCCCACAGTGGATCAACACCAGCAGATGACATGCCCCCCCCCCCCCCAACCACCACTGACTGGAAACTTGACACTGGACCTCAAGCAACATGAATTATGTTCCTCTCCTCTCTTCCTCCAGACTCTGGGACCTTGATTTCCAAAGGAAATGCAAAATTTACTTTCATCAGAGAACATAACTTTGGACCACTCAGCAGCAGTTCCAGGCGAGATGCTTCTGACGCTGTCTGTTGTTCAAGAGTGGCTTGACACAAGGAATGCGACAGCTGAAACCCATGTCTTGCATATGCCTGTGCATGGTGGTTCTTGAAGCACTAACTCCAGCTGCAGTTCCCTCTTTGTGAATCTCCTCCACATTTTGGAATGGGTTTTGTTTCACCATCCTCTCCAGAGTGCAGTTATCCCTATTGTTTGCACACTTTTTTTCTACTACATTATTTCTTTCCCTTCGCCTCTCTATTAATGTGCTTGGGAACAGAGTTCTGTGAACGAGAGAACCTGACCGATCCTGAGCAGTCGCACTGCAGAGTGATAAATCCCAGTTGACTTCAGAGCCAGTGGCCGGACCTTCGTCCCTCCAATCGATGATAGGTGACTTTTGAGGAAGAATCAGCCTTTCAGTCACCGGAGCGTCTCTGGCCTTTCTGGTATCATTTTAAGTAGTTGTGGAACATTCTGACATCTCGTTCTGGTGAGAGAGAGAGACCTTCAATGCACTTTCTGGTGATCATACATCACAATAATCTTGCTTTACACACTACAGCTCAAGATACAGTTTTAACTACTCCACAAACAGAACAGTCCAAAATTTCTGCCTTTTTAAAGTTTCACTGATTTGAATAATCAAGTAGATCTTCGATACAAAGCTTTTCGTTATTCATTTGTGTATTATGCATAATCTTCATCAGATATATCACAGATTATTATTTTTGTAATAAAATACATAAGATCAACTAAATTTGTGATTATTTTGGCATATCTGTGTGTGTTAACTGATTTGATGCCCTTTAAACACGAGAAAATAATTCACTTTTCAGTTTACATTTATTTTGGGGGTTAGAGACTGATTTTTCCTCTGAAAATAGGTGGTGTCCATAAAAAACGAGGTTATTTGTATAATAAATGCATATCTTATGAGGTTAACTCATAACTAATTATTTACAATATATATCCAACCCCATATCCCTCTACAACCATGATTGTGTAGCCAACAGAACTAGACAGAGACCATTTAAAGGCATTTGCAGGTGTTTTGAGTTAATTAGCTGATTAGAGTGTGGCACCAGGTGTCTTCAATATTGAACCTTTTCACAATATTCTAATTTTTTGAGATGCTGAATTTGGGGTTTTCATTAGTTGTCAGTTATAATCGTCAACATAAAAAGAAATAAACATTTGAAATATATCAGTCTGTGTGTAATGAATGACTATAATATACAAGTTTCACTTTTTGAATGGAATTATTGAAATAAATCAACTTTTTCATGATATTCTAATTTTATGACCAGCACCTGTGTTTCTTATATGATTGTCTGTTGTTGTCTGTATCTCTTCTGTGTTCGTTGTTAAAAACAGGTCTCTCTTGTAAATGAGTCCTTGAGGCTGAATGAGACTAACCTGTATAAATAAAGTTGAATTAATTTCTCAACAGGAGATGATTTTAGATAAAAACATGAAACCTGATGAGGGATATGTATTCCTTAATCGGATGTTAGACTTTTATTATTCATGTTTTGACTTAATCATTTTGATTTCTTCTCATTTTGAGTTCTCTAGAATTCCTTGTTTGTACTGTAGGTTTGGATCAGTCATTCTTTTATTGTTTGCATCTGGAACCAAATGCAGCTGCTTGATTATTCAGGGCTGTGAAAACAAGAAGACTTCACTTCAGTACTGACCTCACTTCTTTCACAATAGTGAAACAGCTATAAAAACCAATTTAGCACCAAAATGGTGCAAAATGTGATACAAGCACCAAATGTGGTGTGGTCGTTTTCTTTCTTTATCTTCTTTTTAATTTTTCCTTTTCTCTTTTACTAGACAGTGACCGATGACCATTAGCCTAAATGTAAACACTGGCCCTAGATCTAACCTTTATGATAATCCTAGACCCTAAACCTAACCCTCTGACCTTCGACTCTAAACCTAAACCCCGACTGCTAATCCTAACCCGGACTCTGTCCTGACCCTAAATCTAACCCAGGACCCCTTGCCCTGACCTAAACATCTGACCTTTGACCCTAAATTTAACTGATGACCTTGACCACAAAAATCCTGACTTTGTCCCTGGACTCAGACCCTGACAAGGACCCTCTGGCTACCACATCACAGGATACACACTCGCTCTGTTCAAAGCACTCTATTGAGTTGGGTCATGACAGGTGGGGGCAACGCAGTGATGGACAGTCTTCCCAACAGTTCTACCCGATTAGAAATCTAAAAATCCAAAATGTTGGCCATTTTTCACAATGGTTGACAATATGATTATGATTCCTGCTGACTAGAGTTCGACTAAGTAAGGACACACATGGCAGGTCTGATGGGCCAGTCTTCCACCAATTGCCAGTAATACTTTTGGTACATGCTCTTATGTGCATAGCACAGGACTAATGACAGAAGAAAACATGTAAATTAACATAAAGATCATTCAAATAAATCAAGTAATTACATTATCATATGATTACTGTGTGGAAATAAGCTACTTTTGAATAAAGATAGCCATCTTGGATTTTCAAATGGCCAGGCAGGTTTGACAAATACCTCAAAGAAACTCGTCATACCAAATTTGTTGCTTGCATCATAATTTGCACAATTTTTCCATTATCTGCTTTAATACATGTCTTGAGTAGCACACCGTTGTTTGTTCTTCCTATTATCACATTTTTATGTCAATTATTTGGTTTTCAAAATTGTGAGGCAGTAGTGACTGAAATGATATGAGACTCTGAGAGGTTATTGAATTTAAAAACTTGAAAAGGTCATTGCAGGCAGAGTAATGTGTAGATTTTCACAATATTATTGAATTCTAGATAAATTTAGTCATTTAAACTGTTTTTCTATCATTACTCTCTTCTTTATAGGAATAGTATAGTTATAATTGATGCAGACATAAGGTGCTTTTATAGAAATATTAATAGAATAGAAGTATAGAAATGATTTCTCCTATTCATAAGTCTCAGAAGTGTCCACCGTTATAAATCCTATTTCCCCTCTTGGTTAGTTGTCAAATGAAAAAACACTTTTTGTCAGAAAGTCATTTTAAGGAACAAATTTTGAGCTTACTAGTAAACCTTAAAACTTGACGTTTTTAAAAAAAGGCAACTGTTCTTGTCTTGTTTGCGTCTCTTCAGAGACATTGTCTCAGTTGAGCCCGAGAAGTGCAGACTTCAAAGATAAAAAGTAATAACTCCTTGGTATCTAAATCAAATTCTGCTCAGGGTCCCATATAGTCTTAGTCCAGCTTGGCCATGGAGAGGAAAGAAATATGTCAGGTTACAACTAAAATCATGCCTTTTTTTCTTTGTTTTTTCAGGGGTTCTTGAAAGATTGCCCCAGTGGAACCTTGAATGTGGAGGAATTCAAGAAGATCTATGCCAATTTCTTTCCCTATGGAGATGCCTCCAAGTTTGCTGAGCACGTCTTTCGAACTTTTGACACCAACGCCGATGGGACGATAGACTTCCGGGAGTTCATCATTGCCTTGAGTGTCACATCCCGAGGGAAGCTGGAACAGAAGCTGAAGTGGGCTTTTAGTATGTATGACCTGGACGGAAACGGGTACATAAGCCGCGAAGAGATGCTGGAGATAGTTCAGGTGAGCGATGAATGTTGGATAGTAAGGCCTGCAGGTAAAAAAGCTTTTGAAAGGAGTACATTTTTGTTGACGCCTGTAGGCAATAAAGTTCCCACATGTGAATCATACGTTCTGCCTAACAGTGGAAATTTTTATGCTTGGAATCATATTTGTAGTTTTTGTCCCTCGTCACGAAAAGGAGGAAGTGGAAATACCCTCAGTCCATCCGTGCATGTTGTGAGCATTATAACTTGGAAAATAAGTGAGGTACCAACTTTCTTTTTGCTGTGTGGCTGCATCTAGGCATAAGAAAGTTTCCTTTTGAAAGTTTGGTTGCCACATCAAAATTCATATATGTTATATAAAATGATCACCCCTGTCATTAAAGGAAACTATGTTCTCTAGCTTTTAAAAAGTGCCTAACAGCTTTTAGTTTTCTCAAAGAATTGGGGTGGTGGCAAAGGCCACCATTGGCCATCCCCTGGCATTGCCATTGCACCTGCAATGAAACTGTTACACAGTGTAATTACTACACACTTGAAGATATGGCACCAAAAACGTTAAAGTTTATTTGCACTCCCTGTTCTAATCCAGTGAAGAAAAACATTAAACTCAAAAACTGCAAACATTCACTATTCAAATCCTTCAGTGACGAGACTTCAGCATACTGCTTGTTGAGCTCTTGCACCTTCACAAAACTTCTAAAAATCAGAATACCTTTAATTTGTATACATGTGCACTGGGTGGTCATTTCTTTGTTTCTTGTGTAGCTTTACTAATACAAAGCTGATACTGATAATTGAGTTTTCTTTAAATAAGCCCCGAAATTGGACATTTTGGAACGATGCCGTTTCATTTCCTTTAAAATGCCAGTACTCGCTGTAGCGTTAGAACTTTTTTTTTTCAAAGCGAACCTTTGTAATTTCAATTGAGTACTTTCTTCTTTTTCAGTGACTCAATGACATATATTGACAGCTATATTTAGCCTGACTGGTTTATTGAACAAATTGTAGGTCAGGAGAAAAACACCTTTTGAATTGAGTCTGTGTGTATTCACACAATGTAAAAGCAGTAAGTGTAAAGTTGCACGAAGCAGCAGGTCAGGCTTTTGTTGGGCAGTTGGGTGGTGAGAATCAAATCACAGCAGGGTTCAGTGCTCTTAAAGTTTACCCAAAATACTTCAAGGGTGGGTGTCTGTGTTTCTTTTTAACCTGTGTGTTTTGAAAAGCTCTCAACATGTCATTTGAAGGAAAGACGAGATCCCTCATAGGTGTTTTGTAATGATTATGTCAATAAAGATAGCCATATTCACAGAACTGGGACATTTCTGAGTACATTTTGAAGGATGCCACTGCATCTGTTGTCTGAAATCTCATAATACATCAACCAGCTCCTTTAATGGATAATAGTAATTTAGGGCTTGTTTTTTTAATAATCTAAGTTCAAGTTCAAGGTTCTTTATTGTCATTTGCATCACATGTGGGACATGTGGTGGAACGAAACTGTGTACACAGAGTCCCAGTTACATCCAACAAAAGTATAAAATGTAAAAGAAAAACAGTAATAAGCTCTACGATATGAACTAAGAAAAACGTTAAGCTAAAAATATGCTAAGCACTAGTGGTATCAAAACAATAATAATAATAATAATAATTCCAAATTTTGTACTTAAGGTCTTGTTTACACCCCAAAATAGCAAAAATATAAAGTATAAAAAAGAAACGGTACACAAGGATATAAGATATACACTTGTAGTGGACTAGGCCTATGTCAAAACTGAGTCTTAGGTCAAAACTCTTGACCTTTAGGACCTTGTGGGACAGGAACTGTCATTTCATTCATTTGAACTCAGAAATACAGGTTCACCCATCCTGAGACTTTCTTTCTTGAAGATTCAAGTGAAAAGAACACTCTCTTTTTATTATCATTACTATTTTACAAATATTGATAATCAAAGTGTCTTAGTTCAAACCATTTTAGATGTTGCAGTGCACTAATCAATTTTATTAACTGAGTAATGATTTTTATTCTCATGTCAAAGCTGTTACAGAATAATTATGCATTTTCTGATTTCTGCCTTTGAGTGAGCAAGTGTGCGTTTCCAAGGTTGGAGTCAAACGAAAAAAAAGTTGTTGAACGAACTGTCATGTTTTTTAGAATCCTCTCAGACGTAAATAGAGAAGTTTTAGCACCTGTTTCTGAAACGCGCCAAAACAAAACTCTCTCTGTCTGTGAGAACATTTCTGATCTGTTTCATAACAATTCTCGCTGTCTCTAACCTCTTACGTCACAAAACACACCCCGTCTGGTCGTTTCTGACCAATGAACAAATCCCAAAAGTGAACCGGGAAAGAGTCTTTAAAATGTCAGTACTTCCTGGTCTAGTCAGCTCTGATGGAGTGCTGATGGAGTTCTGATGGAGTGCTGTTGGAGCTCTGATGGAGTGCTGATGGAGTTCTGATGGAGTGCTGTTGGAGTTCTGCTGGATACACAGTCCAACCAGTTCTGTTCATGTTCTGATGGAGACGGGATGATCCTGACATGACAACAAGCTCTTCCGAGTTCCATGGGATTATAACACTTTCACTAGCCATTACTTCGGACGAGTAACAGCCAACCTACTGAGACGCTGAAAGGGTGCGTTAAACGGAATCTCACCTGAGACATCTCCAGGTAAAGGAGCCGATTTCATCACCTAAGTGTACTGTAAGGAAAAGCTGAAGAAAGCCGGAGAGTGTCGATTCTGGTGAACATTTCTCCTCTCACACACCATCTTACTCCCTCTAAACTTCTTTCCATCTTTAAACTTTTCTATCAAGTAGAAATTCTTCCAGATATTTTAGAAATGTCTGTGTAAAATGCTCACCCACATTCATGTGGGTAAAAGATCATAGTTGTACAGTTTTCACAAATGTCTGTGGTGAAGCAACGGAAAAATCATGGCCGTATGATTTTTCCTGATTGATTGCTTATGTTGTTATTTTCATAATTTGCCAAATTAATGTAAATGTTTGATGTTAAACTTTGATTCTGTAAATAAATGACCGCATTCATTTTGATGGGTCAAACATAAATGACGTCTCACGTTTGCATTTCCTTAAATTCAATGCACGTTTTATTCAGTCCAGAAAAATGAGGAATCCGTGTTAAATGATGAATATATCTGAGCATCTGTTCATCTACAAACTGGTGGCCCGTACGGGGATGCGGTCCAGACAGCCTTACACATTTTAACAAATTCAATTATTGGCAAACAATTGGAGCAATTGCTAGACCTTGATGATGATCAAAGATATGAGGAGCTGCAGACGTTGTCAAAAGCAGCTAAAGTGAAGGAGGACACGAAATCCAGCCGTGAACGGTTGGCAAAAATTGCTCTGCTTCTGAAGGCGGAACTGGACCGTCTGGTTGAACGAAATACCTTACATCATTTATTTACAGAATCAAAATTTAACATCAAACATTTACATTAATTTGGCAAATTATGAAAATAACAACATAAGCAATCAATCAGGAAAAATCATACGGCCATGATTTTTCCGTTGCTTCACCACAGACATTTGTGAAAACTGTACAACTATGATCTTTTACCCACATGAATGTGGGTGAGCATTTTACACAGACATTTCTAAAATATCTGGAAGAATTTCTACTTGATAGAAAAGTTTAAAGATGGAAAGAAGTTTAGAGGGAGTAAGATGGTGTGTGAGAGGAGAAATGTTCACCAGAATCGACACTCTCCGGCTTTCTTCAGCTTTTCCTTACAGTACACTTAGGTGATGAAATCGGCTCCTTTACCTGGAGATGTCTCAGGTGAGATTCCGTTTAACGCACCCTTTCAGCGTCTCAGTAGGTTGGCTGTTACTCGTCCGAAGTAATGGCTAGTGAAAGTGTTATAATCCCATGGAACTCGGAAGAGCTTGTTGTCATGTCAGGATCATCCCGTCTCCATCAGAACATGAACAGAACTGGTTGGACTGTGTATCCAGCAGAACTCCAACAGCACTCCATCAGAACTCCATCAGCACTCCATCAGAGCTCCAACAGCACTCCATCAGAACTCCATCAGCACTCCATCAGAGCTGACTAGACCAGGAAGTACTGACATTTTAAAGACTCTTTCCCGGTTCACTTTTGGGATTTGTTCATTGGTCAGAAACGACCAGACGGGGTGTGTTTTGTGACGTAAGAGGTTAGAGACAGCGAGAATTGTTATGAAACAGATCAGAAATGTTCTCACAGACAGAGAGAGTTTTGTTTTGGCGCGTTTCAGAAACAGGTGCTAAAACTTCTCTATTTACGTCTGAGAGGATTCTAAAAAACATGACAGTTCGTTCAACAACTTTTTTTTCGTTTGACTCCAACCTTGGAAACGCACACTTGCTCACTCAAAGGCAGAAATCAGAAAATGCATAATTATTCTGTAACAGCTTTGACATGAGAATAAAAATCATTACCCAGTTAATAAAATTGATTAGTGCACTGCAACATCTAAAATGGTTTGAACTAAGACACTTTGATTATCAATATTTGTAAAATAGTAATGATAATAAAAAGAGAGTGTTCTTTTCACTTGAATCTTCAAGAAAGAAAGTCTCAGGATGGGTGAACCTGTATTTCTGAGTTCAAATGAATGAAATGACAGTTCCTGTCCCACAAGGTCCTAAAGGTCAAGAGTTTTGACCTAAGACTCAGTTTTGACATAGGCCTAGTCCACTACACACTAAATAATAATAATGTAATATAATACGGTGTATTAAACAGCAGCCTGAACATGAGTCTGTTGTGAGCAGGTGGGTATGAATACAGCAGCTTAAAGGCAAGAAATCAACCGCATGGATAATCAGCAGCACAGCTAAAGTCACATATCTCCAATTAAAGTGGCATTACAATGATTTGTCTGATCAGGGATTTATGAGCCTTAACAGCTTCAGGGTAGAAGCTGTTCCTCAGTACAATGGTTCTACACTTAATGCTCCGCAACCTCCTGCCTGAGGGGAGTGGGGCATAAAGTGTGGCTG